TCTTTAGGGCGCCGTAGCGCCCATGATTAAAAAACGGTCTCGCACACACATGTGAGTGTCTGCAAAGAGGCTAATTTTATTTATTTGGTGCAATTCTGGTATATTACCTAATGGAAGGTGTTATCCACACACTCATTTTTACCTCTTGCACAGCCCTATCAACTTACGATCGTCGAATTGAATGAATTGAATAAGATAATGAACATAAATTAATAATGATGTATGGGAGGAAAAAATGTGTAAATAACACTTCCTACCTATTCCTTGAGGGCGTGTTTGTTTGACCGGATTAGGGGGGACTGGACTAGACTAGACTAGTCCCATGTTTGTTTTGGACAAGGATTAAGTTTAATGAGCTTAGGTAGGACTCGCTCGGATTATACACCTCGCTAGGTGTTCTTAACGAAGGACCCCAATCTCGGCCGGATTCGTAAGCCCAGAGAGAACCGCTAGAGCTTCGCTCGTCCAAGAACCCCAAGTCGCTCATCCTACTCATCGCACATCGCTCCCTCCTTGCCCTGCTCCCTCATCGTCGTCCTCCTCACCCTCATCTGCATCTGTTCGCCCTCATCTACTTTGAGTTGTCTGGTAAACTTCGAATCTTCGATTTATTTCGTCGATTTGTTTTGCAGATCGTGATATTACTGAGCTTTATTTGATTTTGTTGTTTTGGGTTTGAGAAAATTTCAATCATAGACCTCTGCACTTGAACAAATTAGGGTTTTGATTTTTAAGTCAAATTGAGATTAGAATTTGGGGTTTTTATATTTCTGTGTGGTTTTTCGTTTTTATGTTCTTGGTTCACGAATTTGATGCTTCTTGGTTGGCTGGTGTTCTTTTTGTGAGTTCGATTATCGACTTGTGTGGTTCTAATTTTGTTTCTTGACTAAATACTTACCAATATGTAATTTGTATTCTGCAAAATGGGGAAAATGGTATTTTTGGGCATCAGGGTTTTGGTTGAAAGCAAAGCTCTCCCTCACAGCAATGATGCGTTTTCTTCTTGTTTTTTCATCCGATTCCTTGCTCAGTGCTAAATTCTAACGTCTCTTCTTTCTTCCATTTCAATCTCTCTCTCTCTCTCTCTCTCTCTCTCTCTCTCTCCTCTCTCTCTCTCTGTCCTGGTTTCTAGTTTCTGCAAATTTCCCTCTGATTTCTCTCAAGTTTGACATTTTTCCTCTGTTGCATTCCCAAAGACTTTCTCTCTCTCGCTGAAATTAAAGACTGTTTTCTTTACTTTCAAAACCCAAATGATTCTGCTGCTCCACGCTTTCAAATCTTCAATCATTTCCTCCACACTTGATTGTTCTTGTTTTTCAGCACAAAATTTAGTCCAAAAATAGAAAGAAAGAGAGCTGGCGTTTTTGTAAATGTGGGTTCTTGGGTGAAGAGAATGTGGTTCGAATTGACTGAAGGTCCTTCTGCGTATTTGAATCTTGGTTGCTGAGTTCGGAAGAAGCGTGGGATTTGAGTGATTTGAGTGATTTGCTGTGTCTACAGAAGGGAAAGAAGAAAGAGGAGTGAACTTTCGAGTGTGGAAAGATGGGGTTCTGCAGATGAAGGATTTGAGGTGAGATTTTGATTGAAAAGATTATAGATTTGTGCTTTCTATTGATTTTAGAGGGTATCCATTTGCTTCTTTCATAGTATAATTAATGGTATAATCCGATTTGTGGTGTTGATTTGAAAAATGATGTACATTTTAAATTTAAACTGTTTGGTTGCTGAGAAATGGTAGGAAATGAAGAAAAACTAGATTATAAATTTCAACTGTATATTCCAGTTTTTGGGTCTTTTACAATGGATTTTAAATAAATGAATAACCTTATACTTCGTGGTTTGAGTTTTGTTTTCTTTTTTATGATTTGTTTGCGCACATCAATATAGCTCGATTGAATATCAGTGGTGTCCAAGAGTGAGATGCAATCCTGTGATTTTAGTCTGAGTATAAGCGTTCGAGCAAATGCTGTTTTGTTAGAATAGAGGTATTGTCGTTTGACTGAGAATTTTAAGCTTTAAAAGCACATCAATCGCGCAAAATTAGTTCTCTAATGTCGAGGGAAGTATGTCGCGCAAACGATGTAAATTCCACCCCTGCTGCTTCTCTCAATGTGAATATCATAACTATGAGTTAATCTGGTGATAGTATGCAAATTGATTGGATATTATAACTATGAGTTAATTTGCTTCTCTCAATGTGTTCATATGTCTATCTTGTATGCCAAAACCTTGTGGGGATCTCTGTTGACGGCCCTCTTCTGGAACATTTGGTTGGAGCGTAAGGTATAAGAGCTTTGGGATAGAGTAAGACAATGGGCAGCCTTTTGGGCTTCGGTTTCAGTGGAGTTTAGAGATTACAATCTCTCTTCTATATTTAGGGATTTGTTAGCAGCCATTAATTGATTCGGTTTAGCTTTTCCTCTGTTCATTTAGTTTTCAGTAGGGGTCCTTGCTAGTTTTCTTCTAGCTCCAAGTGGATATCTTTTCCACGGTTTTTTTTCCTCTTTTGTAAATTCTTTCCTTTTTATAAAATTCTTTCGTTTCCCTTAAAAAAAAATGTCTATCTTGTCTACAATCTCATATATTCTTAAGATCTACCTACCTACTTGCCTGTTCTCATGAAACTCTTTTGTGGTACATATCCCATTATTGGTTGCGGACAAGAGGAGCATAAACGGAAGTGGCCAGTGCTCAGACCCCAAGGGAAAACAAGGAACAAACGACTCAAATTATGGAGATCTAACTTAGCTTTGCACTATGAAGTATTTTGGCTAATATTAACTAAGATTTTGTAAATAATGGAGATCTACTTTGGAATGCTATACTATAGTTAACTAGCATTTTGTAAAATATCCTGGATGAAAGTTTAGTGAATGATGTTTTAGAGACTCAGCTGCAAAAGCCTTTATATAGAATAGAGTTGAGAAATTTCATAGTTCAAGTTCCCAAACACTACTTTGTTGCCTGAATGTGCCTTAAGGGGTGGGGAGTCTCAACCACTTGAAATGTAATTTTGCTCATTATGTACAAGTTCATGTCTCAATTCTATTAGCAGGTATTAAAAACAAAACAACTGTCCTTTTTTTTTTAAGATTCATAATATACATGACAAAAATATGCTCCAATTAACCCAGATCATGAGATTTATAGCATTACTCTATTACACAATGACAAAAGCTTTGGGCACAGGTAAATGGAGCTATTGAAATAGAACAATAATGTGGTCCTAGTCTAAGCAAACACAAATCTGGTGAACAGTATTGTTTTCATTATCCTGCTTCTTAGTCCGACACTGCACCAAACGCTTCACTAAGCTAGTCCAGCTTAGTCTAGTCTAAGTCAGTCCAGCTTAGTTCCTGCAGCTTTTCTAGTCCAAGACAATCTGGTGCAACAAACGCACCCTGAGGGTTTAGTGTTTAGCATTTCTCTAGGTTTACATAATTCTTGGAAATTGCGCTAAGTTTCCATTGTTTTCTTTTTCAACGCATGCAATTTAACTCCTCGACACATATCTCTGTTGTTTTTATTGACTTTATCTTTCTTAGAAAAGTTTGCAATCAAAGTTCCCAGGGTATTAATTGTTGTGTTATACGTTTTGATTTGCTCTTGCTTTTCCAAACTAGGTACCCTTACCTAGATTAATTGGATCAGTGATCCCTGACCTTATAAACAGTGAAGGTGGATTGTCTGTTCTCTCATTTCCATACTTTTCTTATTTTTTCTTGTTTGTGTGGTTACGGTTAAGCCACGTCAATATTTTATATTTATTTTTTTTTATAAAAAAATAAAATAAAAAGGAATATGAATATAAAATATTGACGTAACTTAACCGTGACCACACAAAACAGGAGAGGATGGGAAGAGTATAGAAATGGGAGGGTAGACAATCTACCTCCATAAACAGCTCCTTCATAGGGCTCCACGTTTGTCAAAAATGTTGGCCTACAACTATAAATCCTCTCCCCTTCTTGGTGACAAAATTGACTCATCATTACACAGATAAGGCGAAAACGTAGTCAAGGTTTCGGTCTCGAATCTCGACCGTGAATCGGAGATCGATCACATCTCAGGATGGGGTTGGATGAAAAATGATTTGTGATCATTTTAGAAGGTGACTTTGATGTTTGGTTTAGACTTTTCCTTCACTAGGAGCCAAAGCCCTGAACCTACTCTTACTAATATAGTACAAAATTACCCAAATTAGGATCAATTTTTTAAAGATTGGCAAACAAAGATTGATTTGAATTTTGAACACAGTTTTGTCACTCTAGCTAATCACCCCATATTAAGTTGAGATTAGTAAACAATAATACATGATAATGATAGAGTAAGCATCGTGAAAATCAAAATCTCCTCGAGATGACTAAGAGTTGGGTTTAAAGAAACACATATTCAAAGACCGTATGTGCAAATTAGATTATAACCAAAATTTGGATATTATTGCAGCCTTCATATTCATTTTTAATTTGTTATGAACAAGTTGGTTCTAATAGGGGTTGTGGGACAATGATTTTCTAAGGCCGGAGTAAGACGAATTGAAGTACACTTACCTCAAAAGTCTGGTCATAGACTCAACAACCTCCATAACTGAACTGACTAAAGGGATCAATAATGCCACTATCATCCTGTTGCGGAATCAATGGGCAAAGTCTTTCGACTTCGCTGAGATAGACCATTCTTGTTCCGCAAGATTCAATAACCTAATCCAGCAAGAAATCAGTAGGTTCCAACAAGAAATCAAATAATTATAGGCTGAAATATTTGCCTCTAAAAACCACCAATAGGGGCAAATACAAAGAAAGATCACCCCTAATAATAAGGAGTGGCGGAAAGTAGATTCACCCCTAAAAAGGCGGTTGCTATTGTTATTAGATGCAAAAAAATGTCAAATATCCACCCCTATTGTTTTTGTTGCCACGTTGGTAGGTTTTATGAATACACATAATTACAGGCAGAAACATCCGTCCCTAATACTTTTTAATTAAATAAAAAAAATTGAGCAAATAAATACATCCGATCCTAATACTTTCATTTATATAAAAAAAAAATCCACATGATAATTAATGCATTAATCCCCCCAAATGTCAGTTATTGGTTTTGAATCATTCAAAATATTCAACCCAACATGTTTCATCTTTATCTTTCCGGATCTCAGAACAATAGGTTTTTTTTTAAATTTACAAGAAAAAACATTTTCTTCCTTCAATCTTCTCATTTCTTTCAGTCTCAAGCTTTGAAGACCAGATCTCTGAGTCCATCTTCTTATGTTGGAGCAGCACACGAGTCTATATAAAAACAAAAACAAGAAAATGTAACGAACAACAAAGCCAAATTACAAAGTACATTAATTGGTATGAACACATAGGAAAAATCAAACCTGAATTTCAATCAATTAAACATATAAGAAAACCGATAAACAAAGATTAACACAAGGCAATTACCTCTAAAATTGGAAGTTCTTGAGAATCTCTTTCTCACAACCAATCAAATAATATTTCTATTCCAATCTATTCATGAATTTCTCTTCCACTCTAAATTATTCAAAATCCAGTGAAGTGTACCTGCAAAACAATTCAAGATAGAAAAAGAACTTCGATCAAACCAAATAAAACGAGTATTATCTTCTCTGTGACAAACCTTTCTTTCGGTCCTCCCGGAGTAGCAAAGGAGTATTAGACAACAAAAGATTACTAACAATGAAAGAAAGAGAGGATGGATTGGGATCTGCACAAGAGAAAGAGAATGGAAGACTAATGAAGGAAAAATGGAAAACTGATGAGTTGTGCGGCATTTGAAGAAGGGAAAACAGAAAAATGAGGGGAAGTGGGTTTGAATTGGAATTAGGGTTTAGCTAATTGATGTTTTTTCCTAGTAAATAATAATATCCTTTATTTTTATTTTTTGTAAACATTAATTTGTAATTAAACATATCCGTCTTAAATAGAAAAAAAAAGTTTAAATAAATAAGTACAAAACATCCGCCCCTAATGAAAGAAATAATTAAATTTAAATAATTATTAGTTGAATTATGGGCTAATTTGTTTGGAAGCATTTTGCTCACCACCATAAACTATGGTGTATGCTCATCATTAGGCCTAGCAATTCCTGACACGACTCGATAACCTGACACGACACGACACGAAATTAACAGGTGTTCGGGTCAACACGATAATGAATCGGGTCGTTATCGGGTAACCCGATAAGCACCTGCTAAGATAACGGGTTGGTTCGGGTATACACGTGGGTAACACGATACACGATAAGAAAAATATTAATTTTATAATTTTATAACCCTAAAAAAATACTATAATAATTATATATATATATATATATATATTAATTTAACAATTTTATACCCCTAAAAACTATAATAATTATATTTATATATATATATATATATATATTAAATTAAAGATTAAAAATTGGAGACCATTGGATCGGCTTAAATATACGTACAAAATAAATAAATTTAAATCTACTTAAAATATATATACCATTGAACTTTATAGGATACGAATTCTACGAAACTAATTTAAAACGATCCAACGTCAAACTTGTTTGTGTATGTTTCGAGATCGCATCAGCAAAAAATCGCAAAAAACAAACATTCAGATATCAAGTAACGGGACAAAACTTTTTTACGGTTATAAACAAAAAATCACGATTTAACGATTATTTTAACTCCGATTTTGATGATTTTTTACAGCTACACTCCTTGACCCTATATGAATACAATGAATGAATTCGATCTTCAATTTAAAATATTTACACTAGTGGATACCACAAAATTTTATGTTAAACTTAATGAAAGTATAAATAAACTCTAAGGGCGTGTTTGTTTGACCGGATTAAGGGGTACTGGACTAGACTAGACTAATTGCTAGTGTAGTCCCATGTTTGTTTTGGACAAGGATTAAGTTTAATGAGCTTAGGTAGGACTCGCTCGGATTATTCACCTCGCTAGGTGTTCTTAACGAAGGACCCCAATCTCGGCCGGATGCGTAAACACGGAGAGAACCGCTAGAGCTTCGCTCGTCCAAGAACCCCAAGTCGCTCGTCCTACTCGTCGCACATCGCTCCCTCCTTGCCCTGCTCCCTCATCGTCGTCCTCCTCACCCTCATCTCTGCGTCCTCCCTCATCTGCATCTGCTCGCCCTCATCTACTCTGAGTTGTTTGGTAAACTTCGAATCTTCGATTTATTTCGTCGATTTGTTTTGCAGATCGTGATATTACTGAGCTTTATTTGATTTTGTTGTTTTGGGTTAAGAAATTTCAATCATAGATCTCTGCACTTGAACAAATTAGGGTTTTGATTTTTAGGTTAAATTGAGATTAGAATTTGGGGTTTTCATATTTCTGTGTGGTTTTTCGTTTTTATGTTCTTGGTTCACGAATTTGATGCTTCTTGGTTGGCTGGTGTTCTTTTTGTGAGTTCGATTATCGACTTGTGTGGTTCTGATTTTGTTTCTTGAGTAAATACTTACCAATCTGTAATTTGTATTCTGCAAAATGAGGAAAAATGGTATTTTTGGGCATCAGGGTTTTTGTTGAAAGCAAAGCTCTCCCTCACAACAATGATGCGTTTTCTTCTTGTTTATTTATCTGATTCCTTGCTCAGTGCTAAATTCTAACGTCTCTTCTTTCTTCCATTTCAAACTCTCTCTCTCTCTCTCTCTCTCTCTCCTGGTTTCTAGTTTCTGCAAATTTCCCTCTGATTTCTCTCAAGTTTGACATTTTTCCTCTGTTGCATTCCCAAAGACTTTCTCTCTCTCGCTGATTTAAAGACTCTTTTCTTTACTTTCAAATCCAAATTTCTGCTCTCCACTTTCAGATTAATCACCTCCCAACCTGATTGTTCTGTTTTCAACAAACAAAATTCCAATGAAAAGAAAGAGAGCTGGCGTTTTTTGTAATGTGGGTTCTTGGGTGAAGAGAATGTGGTTCAATTGACTGAAGGTCCTTCTGCGTATTTGAATCTTGGTTGCTGAGTTCGGAAGTCATTTGAGTGATTTGCTGTGTCTACAGAAGGGAAAGAAGAAAAAGTGATTTTCGAGTGTGAAAAAATGGGTTCTAACGATGAAGGATTTGAGGTTAGATTTGGAAAAGAAATTAGAGGGTCCTATTGATTTTAGAGTTTATTTTGCTTCTTCATAGTATTAATTAATGGTATAATCCGATTTTGGTGTTGATTTGAAAAATGATGTACATTTTAAATTTAAACTGTTTGGTTGCTGAGAAATGGTAGGAAATGAAGAAAAACTAGATTATAAAGTTAAACTGTATATTCCATTTTTTGGATCTTTTACAATGGATGTTAAATAAATGAATAACCTTATACTTCGTGGTTTGAGTTTTGTTTTGTTTTTTATGATTTGTTTGCACGCGTCAATATAGCTCGATTGAATATCAGTAGTGTCCAAGAGTGAGATGCAGTCCTGTGATTTTAGTCTGAGTATAAGCGTTCGAGCAAATGTTGTTTTGTTAGAATAGAGGTATTGTCGTTTGACTGAGAATTTATAAGCTTTAAAAGCACATCAATCGCGCAAAATTAGTTCTCTAATGTCGAGGGAAGTATGTCACGCAAACGATGTAAATTCCACCCCTGCTGCTTCTCTCAATGTGAAAATCATAACTATGAGTTAATCTGGTGATAGTATGCAAATTGATTGGATATTATAACTATGAGTTAATTTGCTTCTCTCAATGTGTTCATATGTCTATCTTGTATGCCAAAACCTTGTGGGGATCTCTGTTGACAGCCCTCTTCTGGAACATTTGGTTGGAGCGTAAGGTAGAGGAGCTTTGGGATAGAGTAAGACAATGGGCAGCCCTTTGGGCTTCGGTTTCAGTGGAGTTTAGAGATTACAATCTCTCTTCTATATTTAGGGATTTGTTAGCAGCCATTAATTGATTCGGTTTAGCTTTGCCTCTGTTCATTTAGTTTTCAGTAGGGGTCCTTGCTAGTTTTCTTCTAGCTCCAGGTGGATATCTTTTCCACGTTTTTTTTCCTCTTTTGTAAATTCTTTCCTTTTTATAAAAATTCTTTCGTTTCCCTTAAAAAAAAAATGTCTATCTTGTATGCAATCTCATATATTCTTAAGATCTACCTACCTACTTGCCTGTTCTCATGAAACTCTTTTGTGGTACAGATCCCATTATTGGTTGCGGACAAGAGGAGCATAAACGGAAGTGGCCAGTGCTCAAACCCCAAAGGGGGAAAAACAAGGAACAAACGACTCAAATTATGGAGATCTTAACTTTAGCTTTTGCACTATGAAGTATTTGGCTAATATTAACTAAGATTTTGTAAATTATGGAGATCTACTTTGGAATGCTATACTATAGTTAACTAGCATTTTGTAAAATATCCTGGATGAAAGTTTAGTGAATGATGTTTTAGAGACTCAGCTGCAAAAGCCTTTATATAGAATAGAGTTGAGAAATTTCATAGTTCAAGTTCCCAAACACTACTTTGTTGCCTGAATGTGCCTTAAGGGGTGGGGAGTCTCAGCCACTTGAAATGTAATTTTGCTCATTATGTGCAGATTCATGTCCCAATTCTATTAGCAAGTATTAAAAACAAAACAATTGTCCTTTTTTTTAAGATTCATAATACACATGATAAAAATATGCTCCAATTAACTCAGATCATGAGATTTGTACAATTACTCTATTACACAATGGCAAAAGCGTTGGGCACAGGTAAATGGAGCTATTGAAATAGAACAATAATGTGGTCCTAGTCTAAGCAAACACAAATCTGGTGAACAGTATTGTTTTCATTATCCTGCTTCTTAGTCCGACACTGCACCAAACACTTCACTAAGCTAGTCCAGCTTAGTCTAGTCTAAGCCAGTCCAGCTTAGTCCCTGCAACTAGTCCAGTCCGAGACAGTCCGGTACAACAAACGCACCCTAAGTGTTAGTGAATCTATCGTTTTGCTGGGATACGCATTCTATGAAACTAATTTCAACGATCCAACCGTCAAACTTGTTTGTATATGCTTCAAGATCGTATACGCCAAAAATTGAAAAAAAACAAACATTTAGAGATCAAGTAACGGGACAAAAATTTTCGACGGTTATCAACGAAAAATCACAATTTAACGGTTATTTTAACTCCGATTTTGGTGATTTTTTACAACTACACTCCTTGACTCTATATGAATACAATGAATGAATTCGATCTTCAATTTAAAATATTTACACTAGTGGATACCACAAAATTTTATGTTAAACTTAATGAAATTATAAATAAACTCTAAGTGTTTGTGAATTTATCGTTTTGATGGGATACCCATTCTATGAAACTAATTTCAACGATCCAACCGTCAAACTTGTTTGTATATGTTTCAAGATTGTATACACCAAAAATTGCAAAAAACAAACATTTAAAGATCAAGTAACGGGACAAAACTTTTCGACGGTTATCAACAAAAACTCACGATTTAACGGTTATTTTAACTCCGATTTTTATGATTTTTTACAACTACACTCCTTGACCCTATATGAATACAATGAATGAATTCGATCTTCAATTTAAAATATTTACACTAGTGGATACTACAAAATCTTATGTTATAATTAATGAAAGTGTGAATAAACTTTTAAGTGTTAGTGAATCTACCGTTTTGATGAAATACGCATTCTACGAAACTAATTTCAATGATCCAACCGTCAAACTTGTTTGTATATGCTTCAAGATCGCATACGCAAAAAATTGCAAAAAACAAACATTCAAAGATCAAGTAGCGCGACAAAACGTTTTGACAACTATCATCGAAAAATCACGATTTAACTGTTATTTTAACTTCAATTTTGATAATTTTTCACAGCTACACTCTTTGACCCTATACGAATATAATA